TATCCATGTCCCTCCAAAATGGATCACATAAGAATGAGGTTAGCTCAAGGAACTGAAGATATATATATATGTTTTAAAAAAAAAAAAATATATATATAAAGCCATTTGGCACTCATGGATTGTTTACCAACAGATTCTGTTTCCTATAAGATCGGACTCCATTAGCACCTCGCATTGTTATACTGTCTGTACAATTATTTCAGGTACCAGTATCCAAGAAATAAAGACTTTAGGATTATGATGGCTTTTGGATTTTAAGCTGTCTAAGCCATCAGATGTTGTCACCTTTGTAGTATCTGTTAATGACGGCTATGGTTTTGTTTCCATTTTAATTTGTATTAGTAAGGTGAGTGATCAGTGGGGTACAGCCTTGGCACGCTGCTGAGGTGATTGCGGCAGGGCCCAGAAAAGCTCCTCTTTTTTTGGGCTTTTACTAGGTATGAGAAACTGCATTGCTCTGTACTCGGCTCAGTAGGGTGCAATTTCTTTTGCAAACATCTTTTTCAGGAATATAATGAAACTTTGATTCTGTGACAATTAGCATTGCAGAAATAGAGATTCTTGGCCATTATTTTCATGCTATCCAAATGCTTTAGGAATACCCTTAATGGTAACGTTAGTTACCATTCGCTGAAAGAGGGGGGGTTTGGTTTTTGGGTTTTTTTTTTTTTTTTGCTTTGTTTTGCTTTTGTCCTTCTATGCATCAAAGCCCATAAAGGCTCCTTTACTGTTATCCCTTGCTGCTGACTTTGAACCACACCTGTGCTTGAATACTGGTGGGAAGCCACAGAATAAAAGTCAATACTAAGTAGTTTTATTCTACATTTCCTGGTATTACTCTTGCTAAAAATATCTTACGCCTGAAAAAAAATTCAATAAACACAATTTTTATCATCATGGCTTTGATTGTCAAGCTCCAAAAAAATCTGAAAAGCAATTGGCTCCACTTTATGCCATATACAGAGACTAGAGCCGAGTAGGTCCCATCCTCATCATCTCATGCAACAAGAAAGCTGAATGCCACGGTGAATTAAACCCCCATTCTCCTCTTCTGGCAGCTTAAAATGAACCCACTTGGTTTATATTTAGCAGGGACACAGAACAAAACAAGCATGCAGCAAGGATTTCACTCTTCTTGCAGTGTTCATTGCACTGAGATGGCTATTCTTGCCAGTCCGTGAGGAGGTAATTCACTTCCAGGACAGTTCAATTCAATAGGATTTTTGCCATTAGCTTCAATGAGACTTGGGTTCCTCAGCTCCTTGAGTTTTTTTTCTCTTTATACCCCTTGATTCCCCATCTCCAGCCTGCCTTCCTGCTTTATGGCTTTCACAGAGACTGGATTCCAGTTTCACCAATTCCTTTTCCTCTTTCTGAATAGGATGGAATGTTGTCCCATCCTCAATATGGACATAAAATGTAAAGGGATCCTCATTTCCATGGTGTCATCTCAAATCTTTGACTGTTTCTGTGATTTGCAATTCAGTGGCTTGATAAAAAGAAAGGAATAGCTTAAGAAATAATGTTCCTAATCTTCAAACAGTCATAGACAGCACAATAGTGCACTGGCTTTTGTGAAGAACGTATTTATAGGCAACAGAAAAGTCATCATATACAACGAAAAAAAGTAAAGAAAATCAAACCTGAGTAAACAGTTCACACTGAGATCTACAGTTGGTGTCCATTTTAAAGATTCATCTTGTGATTTGAATTGTGAAATTTTCAGTTAGCTCAAAACAAAATGAAGATGTTGAAGGATACGTCCAGGGAGCATGATGTCCAGGGCAACACTGGGAGTTACTCATGTGTGGGTAAACCTCAACCATCCATAAACATGTTCGCCTTTCAGCTGAGTGTTTGGAACAGACTCTCAATTCCCAACCTTAATCTCAGCAAATACAAAACTGTATACACATGTAAATCTGCATTTGCAGATACCAGTATTTTCCTGTGTACACACTAAACATATTGTAATGCTTCTCTTACACATAAGCGGTAGGACTTCCATTTGCAAAGAATTTTAATCTGTAACATAAGCAAAAACAATGTATAAAAACATTTTCTCCACTTGTAAGTAGATAATTAATTTGAAAGCTTCACTTAAGGAATATAGTATATTTAATTTTTAATAGATGGTTCTGTTGCCGACAGTAAAAGAATCTTTTAGGAGCTGTGAATACAGAGGTTGGAGATTAGCTTTTGAAAAAGCATATTGCAGAATAGATGTTATGTTAGGTAGATCCTACATTTTTCCCATGGAAGTTCTTTCTTCCTTAAGTTTATTCAAGGAAGATAATAGATTATGGAAAACTAAAGTAGAAAATGTTAAAAGCAACACATGATGTAAAATTTACACGCTAACTAAAGCAATAAATTAACTAGGTTGGTATTTTAACAAATAGCTGGTTCTAGAACATAGGAAGTAAGGTGGGAGACAGTTCAAATATATTTGCAGGAGTTGAAGCAAATTACATTGCTTAGGTTTCACGATCAGTTACAGCTAACCTACTCCTATAAAATTTTTGCAAATACAGATCTAGGGTATATTTGCATTACTCTAAAATAAAACTACTTTGTCATTTATGCTTCAAAATAAGTACTCTTTGGAAAATAAACTGATATATAATGCTAAAATATTGCAAGGCATTTTCTACAATTTTATAATTCTGATTTTTTTAGACATCTTTCATAGTTTCCCAACAAATATTATTTTGAGTAAAGTCACATTTAACAGTAACTCATACAGGATTTCACAGAACACACTACAAGAAAAATCAAACTTCTACATCCATCATATTAATTCAGCACACAAATGCTACGGATTTTCTAGTACAATACCTGTTTTCTTCAGGTACACAGTGCAATCAAAACCTCTGAACACTACTTTCTTCTGTTGCGTTGCCTTTTCAATCACTGCATAATTCTTTAGGTAAAGTAGCAATGCATAAATAACCTAGTTTTACTGTACCTGAATGCCAAAGACCAAGTCAAGTGTGTATCAATACTGATTAACAGGAGTTATAATGTTAAGACCAAGCTGTTGTGTATTTTGTCTTCATTACAGTGCTTTTGGTAAGACCGCAATGCACTGAGGACCCAGTGTGGGTGCAAGAACACTGTGACAACTCTGCGATGCACTGTCTCAAGATACTGCTAATCACAACTGAATGCAATCACAAAACGATCCAAATAACTTCTTAGGGAACACCATCAACCGCCAAACAAATTGATAATAACTCTTTATAAAAAAACTCATTGGGCAAGATTTCCCACTTACCACTGTTTGAGGTCACCACTTCAGCTGGAGTCTGACTTCTAGTGAAGCTACGCAGATGGACATGGACATCAGCTGGGGATCCAATGTGTGGTTTCCAGTATGTCACCGTGCCAGTAAAGAATGAAGCGAGTACCTGTTATTTCAGGCATGCAGCACCAGTGTTTCTGGACAGATACACCTTACAGACGTTTACACACTACAGCTGCAACTAGATCCCAGTTTTGTGATGCACCACTACACCTTTGGCAGCGGTTTAAGCTTTTGTGCCAAGTGGCTGACATGCTCAGGGGACCCTGCCTTGAGCTCCACCTCGTTCCCCACACCCTGCTATGGCAATGGCTTGGTCCCAAACCATGAGGCCATTCCCAGTGCCAGGAAAGACAATCAGCTGCTGAAGCAGTCTGTGCCCGTCAAATCAACCTCTCCTGCCTCCTCCAAAGGAAAGGTGCAGGCCAGATGGATGTCTCCTGCGGCACAGTCTGGTCTACAGGCTCCTGTCTGGATTATGTTGGTGGCTCTAACACATGCCGGTCTGAACTCAGGCATGAGGGCTGAAGACACCCAAAAAACCCCCCCTAGGCAACATAGAAAAGTAACATATTTAACTTATTCTATTACCTTAATATCTGCTTCAAAGCTACAAATATGAAAAAAAATTATACTTGAGGCTTACGCCTGATTAAGTTGTCAAGGCTCTAGCACTCTTCTGTGGCAAGACACTTGGTGCTGTAGTACACTGCAGCACCTTAGGATCTGGCTCTAGACTGCTTAAAGCTATTGGGAAGTGAGAAGTATGGCAGTCAAAAAGACAAGGAGGGAGCAAAAAGGTTTTGCTGAATAAAAGATATAGTGGGTTTTTTTATGGAACGTACTGCCTATCTTTTTTCTCTTTTTTTTTTTTTTTTAACTGGGATGATGGTTGTAGGGTAAGGCAGGGCAAGGATGGGGTGATCAGCAAGAGTACAGGGTTACGAAAATGCAAGAGTGGAAAAGGGACCATCACCTACTTGATTGTGATCCGCAGCAGGACTCTGCCGACCACAGAATGGCTAATGGGCAGGAGGACAGCAGGCACGTAAGACACCTTGTATTTGTGCAGGCCCCAACAAAGATATGACTCATAACATTCACTCCCTTCACACGTTTGGATCTTACTTCCTTTGTAACAAATGCATCTCACCCCTGAGGTGAATGCTTTTGTTGCTACAGATTTTCTTCATCAGTTCTCTCTGGAAATTGGCAGGCTAAGAGACGTTTTCATTATCACAGTTCATGAAGCACCCAGAAATCAGATCTTTAAGGCAATCAATTGTAATTATGTAAAATCTTAGGCTGCATCCAGCTCTCCCACTTTGCTCATGCTACTGTAACTGCATGATTTCAGTGGAAAAGATTCTCACTCTTATCAATAGCGAGTTGGCCCTAAAGTTACGTTTCAGGGAACACAAGAAATTACACAAGAAAGATAATGTATTTGAGAACATTTTTAATAAATAATGTGACAAAAATTACTTTTCTGATTATTGGATCCTCAGTATGCAAAATTATGGCTAAAATATGAGGTTTCTTACATGAACATAATGAAAACATTAATCACATGGATTGTTCCTTTAGTACTGCACACCCTTTCTATGGAACCTTTCTTTAAAAATTAGCTAAATGAAAAATTTCAGTCCTCGGTAAACACCAAAACACTTTTTTTTTTTCTTCTTTTTTTTTTTTTTCATTGGGGCTAGTCCTGATAGCTGTCAATAAACAAACACACATTCTTCCATTAGCACCAATGACAAAGAAATTTTATAATTACAAAAAAGATCATAAAATCTACAGACAGAGGACATCATTTGGCAAATTCAATGCAACTAATGCCTCTATTTCAGCTTTAATGATAATCCAATGTTGAGAGAGGCCACAGCAAAATTGATAATTTTCTGTAAGTCCAGGAAAAGTGAGAAGTGTTTTGATTATGGCCCACATTTACGTTTGTTACTTTACTTTACTGTCTGTCATCACTCAAATATTCCAAATACAAACATAGAGCATTAACGAAAAGATGAAAAATATCCCAAACAAATGCTTAACATTTTCAATAAGACAAAAAAAAAGGTTAATAGTTACAATGGTTTACAAACAAAGTTTAGTGATTGTGCTTTTAAAACCAAAAAAAAAAAAAAAAAAGATAAGCAGTGCATTACAAAAAAATTAATCGCCAAGATCAAATAAAACTTCTTTAAGTGGCACTTCTTCTTTAAGGTGAATTGATACAAGTAGAGGTCTGAGATTTGGGCCAGTAACAGTTAATGATATTACCCAATCATTATTAAAAATGTCCACTGATTTTCTGGCTTATTTTCATAAGCATTGTTGAAGCTGAAAATTAGAAAAAGTTTCAGATAAACTTGCTCATGCCATGATTAGGCAAATAGCAATCACATTGGCTTACCTCCTGCCTAACCCAAAGGACATTTTTAATAAGAATGTACTTAGTGATGAAAATGGAAAGACAAATCAAAGTACCACAGGGGATTTAAAATGAGTACATATTTACAATAAGAGCCACCTCATCCCAAATTAATTTTACTTGCATTTGTAAAACTGTATCATCTGCAAAAGGTTAGCAAGAGACTGGCAGAATACAAGACACACAGTCTGTATTGAAATTGCAAGATACCATTTGCCCTAACTGCAGAGTACAGTGAAACCCCTAGAATAAAAGAGTGTTCTCCATGATGTTCATGTTGGGGATCTTTTTAATCAATGCTGTATTACTTGCAATGTTATCGACTGGCTCACTGGTGTACCGGCAGTGTACTAAGCACCGCCTCGCTGGGGAGAAACCTCGGGATCCCAGGCTCTGGAATCCCGTTCTAATCCTGAAGCAGCAGCTGGCCCAAGTACCATGAAGAGCAGCTTACCTGCCTTCTTGGGCAGCGAAGGTGATACACTTAGCGTTACGGAATAGGTAAGGGCAGGTTCCTAATAAGGAGGGTTTACAAAGAAAGAGTAAAATAAAAACTAGCATTCTGATGGCATGAAGAAAAATGAAAAATTGTACACTCTGATTGCACTGAACATTATTTCTGGCGTCAAACATCATCAGACTTGAGGCATCTTAAGTGATTTTTTTTTTTTCTGATTAGATTTTAAAAGCCTGTTACAGTACATGTCGTTGTCTTCAGCTTTCTGTTTCCTGTATTAAAAAAAAAAAGAACATAAATGACTACGTGTTAGATTTTATTATTTAAAGTTTGTTTCACATACTTCTTAGAGATGTTACCTTTAAATAATAATTACTACTTTTAATTATGTGCAGCAACGTGACTGCATGTTGGACACCCTTTTTACAGGATTTAAATTGAACTAATATCATTAGGCAGAAAAAAAAGAAGAAAAAAAGTTCATGCCTTAATATCTAATAAAATCTAGAACGATAAACTTCTAAAAATGTGAAAGGCAATGTCAAGCTGTTCTTAGATGCTGTAATGCTTTATTTTCACTTTTGAAAGAATCTGGATAATGTAAAGTGCACATTTAAATATTGTATTTCTGCAAGTTCTGTTCCATAAGTCTTAGTATGGTGACAGTTATACTATACTACATATTACTTGTTTTTTATGTTTTTGACACATTCTTTAAGTTTCTTTTCTTGGATTGCGCATAGCATTAGTAGACAGAAAAATGTACTAATTTTTCTGAATAGAAATATTTCTAGTTCAGAAGTTTTTTTTCTTAGCATCTGTCTAAACACAGAAAATAGCCTTACTCTAGTCATCTTCAGTAGTACAACTGCAATTACCTCCATCTCTTCTTCTTCCTCTTCTCCTTGTTCATACGCTCCCAGTACTTGCATTTCTGCAACATTCCTTCGGGCTATATTTGCTTGATCTGCCCTCTGTCTACCTCCTGATCCTCTTGATGACATAGAGCTGGAGGAGCTGGGATCTCTAGGATTATTTGATGTTGGAAACGTTGGTCTAGAATATGGCAGGATGTCCTCTGTATAATTAAATATATACATTGTTATGTTTACAAGCCCAGAGATACTGCGATCCTAAAATTTCTGCATGCAGTTGATTTATTTTACTTTTTATGATCCTCAGTAGGTTTAAAGTGATGCCTGACAGGAATATGAAATACACTGTTTCCATAATAGCATTATAGAAGCTTTCTTGAGGAAATTTATAGTATTCACGTGGTAACATTCACCACAGAAAAACTAATTCATGATTACTGTCCACTTCATTTCAATTTATGATCACTGCTCTATTTTCTACAGGAAAATAAGAAAAAAAATAACCCTTGTAGTATATTTTCGATATGACTGAGTAGGAGGAAATGACAATACATGCATGATATTCGCAAGGAGCTCACTGCATCTAAATATTAGACCCTGTATTTCTCAAACTGAGTTTGAAACAAAATTAGTGGGCATGTTTTAAAATTTCAGCACCATTCTCTTAAGGTAAACTTCTGATAACTTTTCTCTATACTGTAATCAGTACTGATCTCTTACTAATGTGCCCATTTAACAAACTCACTGCCCAATCACCCCTGATATTGACCCTGGATACCTGTAGGAAGAAAGGACCAGGCATTTGTATGAATCTGTGTTGAAAGCCTTAGTGAACACTTGGCAAATTCCATTAATCATGTTCCATTAATTAGTAATCTTACCAACATCCATAAACATGAGATTACATTGATCAGGTCTGAGTCATATAATGCCATGTCAGTTAATATTTACAACTATGGCATTAATACTATGGCTTTCTTATTTTTTAAACAGGACCAGGTTTACAAATAGACAAAAATGGGCCAAGTGCCAATTCTTTGGTAGAAAAGTTAAATATCTGACTTACAGATCTACTATCTGACTTCACTCAGTTCCCTTGTAAATTAGACTATAATTAGATATATTAGACATAACTATATTAGACTATAAATGTATGGTGGGACAAGGACACTGATCCTTACAGCTCTCGAGGAATATTTCTGTTTGGGCTTCCTCAGCGTTAGCTTTAATACATGATGGGTGCATAGGGAAAGCAAGATAGAAAATCTATGGTTTTCATAAGCTTTTTTCCATTTTACCCTAATGAGAACCTGCAACGTGATCTGTATTAGCAGCTATTATTACAATAAATGGTGACAATTCAGCAGACCTAACTTCACTCACACCATTGGTGTGAGAGACCTGGAAAGAGCTTCCTCTTCCCTGTGATCAACACACAATACTTCATTAAACCCAGAGCATGCAAAATAACCTTGAAGAAGATGAGTTTTTGCTGGTGTGCCTTCTCGTTTTGGTGCTTTATTTGCTCGCAGTTTCCCATCGTTTTGCTGTTCCTGTGATTCTCTCCGCTCTCCTGAACTTGTCCGCATGTCTGAATGCTGTCGCCCATCCACCCCGTCCCTCCCCTTGTAGCTCGTTCCTTTCCTTTCCGCAGATCTGTCTGTCCTCGCTTCTATAGAAGCAAGTTTTGGCAACATGACCGGCCGCACCTCCAGCTGTGATTTGGACTGGGCTGTTGGTGATTTTATAGCTGGAGGTGGCACAGGAGGGGGTGGCAAGTCTACAAAGTTGAAAAAGAATAATAATTACAATGACATCATACACTAATGAAATTAAGAAATAATATTTAACTTCCACTGAAGAAACAGATGGCCTATTTACTTTCAGCCCTCCCTCTGCCCTTCTCTCTCCACCTCAAAAAGTATTATGTTACTGTTACGACTGCTGATAGGTATTTTTCCAAAGCTTGAGCTTTAAAAATGCAAAGTAAAGACCTCTCGCTGCCTTTTCAAATTACAATATTTTCTTAAAAATCATTACAAAAAGCTGTAATAAACTTTAGGCACTTGGATATTAATATATCAGTTACCGATATCCACACAGAGTTAAAGATATTAACATATCTTTGCTGATGTTTATCATTTTTGCTAAGTCCATTCAACAACACAGCAGCTTGTGCTATAGTTACTGAAGGTCTTCAGCGTGCTGATTTAAAGCAAGTGGGCTGGGGTGTAAGAATGTATATCAGACGCACTGCTGATATACGTAAAGATAAACTATATTAATTATTGCATTCTTCTTTCAAAATAATAGGTTAATCTAACGTACGTATCCCTGATGACTGTGGCTATCTCATGAGATATAAAAAAATCCACACTCAATCAACGAAGTAACAAGCTCTCAGGAAGAACAAAAAAAGAAAAAAAGACACACCAAACTTTTAAATGTCTCCTTAAGTTAGCACAGGTTAAGGGGTTCTAAAATTCTGTATATTTTTAAATAGCATTTATAAGGCACACGTATCTTTTACTTAGTTACATTTTTCTATTCCTGCATTAAGACTTAAAATTAGAATGTGTAAACTGTTCATCAGGATACAATAGTGCTTTGTGGAATATAAAATGTGAAGGAAAAAAAAATAAAAGTCAAACAAGGAAGCAACAATACAAAAGTGGTTCACAACAAAGCTGTAGGAACAAACCACATGCATATAAGAGAACAGGTTAAAAAAAGTGAGATGTGAAAGATGTTTCTGAGGTTAATATTCTCAAGTAAGATTGCTAAAAAAAAAAAATAACAGCACTATTAAAAAATGTAACTTCAGCATTTTATAATAGTGTGCATTCATTCTTTCTACTTCCACAAAAATCTTGGAGCAGCTGTGTTTTTCAAACACCATCACTAATTCACAGTCTGTTCAAGAGAACATTTCAACTGAAAATTAACTAAATTGGGCCAAGAATAAAGGTAGTACTCCTGAATAAGAAAAAAATGGGCATCTAACATATACGTATAAATTGAGATATGGCAGATGCCACATATTTTCGAGAGGTTTTCCAGTGATACAAAGCACAAATGACTTGATCTAGCCCTGTGGAAAGGTGTAGCAATGCAGAATTCGATGCTCTATGCAGGCTTACTGGGCACCATCCTCCACGTTAAACTGGTGGCATAACTTGGAATTGCCCTTGACCTGTTTTAAATAAGACTGGAAATTTTATCAGTTGTCTAGACTGGGGTGATGAGGAAGAAAGATGTCACAAAGTTCACTTCCTAAGGTTGGACATATTTCAGGTAAATGAGATCTGTAATGTCATTCTCGCTGCATTAACTCCACTGTCTTGGTAAAAAAACACAAAAAAAAGAGGGGAAAAAAAACCCCACTCAAAAAAAAACCCCAAGCAACCAAGAAAACTTCTCCTTGTTCTAATTTATGGCTTGAATAAGGGATCAAATCCATTTAACAAGAAACACAGAAACACAGAAACTTCTTTCCTTCTGTTCCTCTTAACTAAGAACAAGTTGGACAACTTGCCTTATATTCCTTGCAAATTATGTAGGGTTGTTTGTTTTTCAAACTCTGGCAGTTTGGGGAACACCAGTTTTAGAGAGTAGCTAAAGATAAACAATTGAATACTGACACTTATTTAAGCATCTACTTAACACTCAACATTTGCAGATGTCTTTTAAGAAAAAGGACTGTCATTTCCAAAACTTGAGAAGGCATAATGTAAATTAGCTGGAAGCCTGGATATACTAAGTGGCTGAATCAAAATGGTTTTATTTATGGAGTGGGAATTATTAGACTATAGAGTAAGAACAAAGACAGATCTGTGGGCAACGGACTGGACTTGTTTAACTGAGGGAACTAAAACTGTAAAATGGAGAGGCACCTTCTGATTCAATAAGATATGAAATACAACAGATTTTGGCAAGAAAGCACAGAATCCGTTACATTGCGTCCCTTTGTTATCCATAATGCTTTAAACATGGTTTACAGTGATAACCTCTGTCCAATACACAACCTTAGCAATGAAACTCTGTAATTCCACACATCAGAGCAGCATTCAGACTCCCTCCTCTATGCGTCTAAAAATGCCTTGTGAGCTCCAGCCAGCAAAGAGCGAACCAAACCACTTTCACTGTGCTGCCCAGCCCCGTAGATGCTTCAATTCAATATGTGCCCACAAGTGTAGACATTTGGATCACGGGGTTCCATCGCCATGTGAGCTTAAGTGTCAATACCCGCTTCAAAAAATCTTGGTCTGAAGAAGTATATAACCTCTTACAATTCAACAACTAGGTGAAAAATCGTGTGAAGACCTCAGAATAGTATGTGATATGTTCCTTGAAAGCCCAGTGCATCAGACCATGTCAGATCCAGCCCAAAGCTTATCAAGCACAATAACTGTTCTTCAAAAGCAATGCTGGAGATGGTGATGGTTCCCACCTTTTGCAGAATACTTTTAGTGATTATAGAACTTGGTCAAGATTTAAAAAATAAGATAAACTCTTCATTAGCCTGAGGAGATTCAAACAATGTTTTCCTTTCTCTGGAAAACATCCTTCTCACATGTCTTCTCTCAGAAAAGGATACACCAAATCAGAAGTGGCCGAAGATACTCAAACTCAGAAGTGTAGGCTTCTGAAACCACAGTTGTTCATGCAGTATCTTGTGTCTCACATTCCCCACTCACTGTGTCTATTAAGTTATCAAAGCACTGAATAGCCCTTCTGTTGAGCCTGCTGATGTAAATGGAGTGTAGGTACTTAATACCAAGCCTTTTCAATCACCCTTGGAGCCAGCCTCCAACAGTGGTGGCACAGCAATGCACTGGCTGAATACCAAAGGGAAGGAACAGAATCTTTCCTGTAGCCTATAAAATACAGCTTGGAATAAACTACTTTATTCAAGAATCCTATCCAGCTACACAGGACAATGAAGAAGGTGGTGTTAAGTCTTGACTATGGAAAGGAAAGATATATTGATATAAAAAGTTTCATAAAACGGCAGTAGCTCTATGGTACAGTAATAACTAAAGAAAAGTGATATTCTCTTTCAAGAACATTTTTGCAACCTGTAAAAAAATCTTCATTATAACACAGTACTCCTTGCTGAGAAGAATCCTTTACAGAGGGAAAAAAAAAACAACTTTTCAGAGGTCAACGCTATTACACCCCTGTGGTATTTATTTTAACAGCTCAGATCATAGCGAAAATCCAGATTCAATCTGCCTCTTCGAGTACAAACTGGCACACTTCTTATTAAAAGGAAAATGGAAGTTTCCATTGTAAGGAATAAAAAATAAATCACAAAGAAACATCAAACCAATATAAAGAACTCAGTAATATTTGTTAAAGGTCAGCTGTGCTCACATGTTTCATTCATGTCTATGTATTACTGTCGTACTGCTTCCATGTCACTAAAACAATTAATGGATGCCATTTCATAGCACGGTCTACAGGGGAAACCTTCCATATATGTCTTTTGAAAGGAGTGATGATAATTTTCTCAGTCAAAACATACACAGGAATTGTGGGATAAGCAAAACACCAGTGGGGAAAAATAATCTGCTAAATTAGTTTGGCACTGAAGTGGAGAAATCACAAATATGCACAAAAAGATGAATTGAGAGTAGTGACAAATGAGGGAAGTAGGCCTTATTAGGCAGCTCTCTCTTTTAAGCTCTATTGGGCTGTAGATTTCTACAGTCGTACCTTGAAGAAAACAGCAGAGTTATAAATTTGATGCAATATTGGAGAAGATACAGAGATTTTTTTTTTCTGTTGCATATTTACGCAGGCTCGCAAAACTCAAGGTTGTTCCTGACTTAGTAAGGCTTTAAGATCATTAAAGATTCCTAGATACGTAATAACCTCAGCTACTATTATTCATGTACTGAAGTTATTTCCATTCTTTATCTTTCAAGAAACGTGGCTCAAACTGTACATAATAATTGAATGAATATATAGATACAGCCAAACCCAATATGATGTATAAAAGCAGTGGATTGTTTGGTTGTAGGGTTTTTTTTGCCTGTATGTACATTTATATAATGTTTTTATCAAAACGATTTTTACTCCACAAAAACTCCTTCAGTAACAAAATCAACATTTACAAAATATCTCACAATGGAATCAGAAGTAAGGACTGCAAAGAGAGCAGGTATCTGAAAATCATTATCGTTCAATGACAAGCTGGATTTTAGCAGAGGTAAGAAACGCATTCCAAAATTTGTGCAGAGTAATTTTTTTTGTACTGCACAGGCAGAGGGAGACAAAAGTACAAATGATGCCAGCATGCATAATGGCTTAACATTTCAAAGTGAAAATTCAAGGAAATATTTGGCAGATATTCCATTGCCTTTTGTGAGAAATTCAGCTGCCCTAAAGTCGTGTCATTGATAACAAACCTAAATAACTCAGTTACAGTCTCAACCAGTTAGTTGTGAAAATGTTACTATTTTTTCCTTTGTCACTCAGAGATTTAAAAAAGAATCAGGATTTAAAATCTCGTGTGAACTGTCAATGGCATAATTTCTATTGAAAGACCTACTGAATCGAAGCAATGACAAAGTACTTTTATCCTTTTTATTTAAATGCTTACAATTCCGAGGGCTTGTAACTACTAATAAATCAATTCAAGACAGTTCAGAAGAGATTTTCATATATATAATTTTGGAAAAGACCAAAATATTCTTTTAAAATTTGGTTTCTTAAATTAAATATGTAAGTAGGTCAGGCAAGGTTGAGAAGGAAGATACATCTGTTAGTTTGTTCTTGTAATGCACTCTTAGTAGTTAACTCTCTAAAAGGCTAGAGGAAGAGCAATTAAAAATTCATACATTTTAATCCTTACCACCTACTGAGCAAAGATTTTTAGCAACAAATACGGAGAACATTTCACCGCCTGGATGACTGTCAAGGAACAAAACAAGAGAGCTGAAATCCCATTCCACATAAAGTAAAAACTGATTTGAACTAATGCTAGCAGAAAATACAAAATTGTTACTACTTATACAATGCAGAGTAGATCAGAGAGCACTCTCCTTTATTTAAAAAAGGGTAGTAGTAGACCTTTTACTGCTACATTAGTAACAAACACACTTTCAGAAATACCAACCTCTTTCACAAATCTTGCTGTATAAAGAAAAAAAAAACCAGAATTTTTTAAGACTTACATACATTGCTGCTGATAATACTCTCGGCATTTTCAACATTCACGCAAACACTTAATTTATTTATATATCCTTTCTGCCAACAAATCATGTAAATTCTTCATGACACTGGTATTTCATGAAACTGCTAGCAAATACTAATTCAGGTAGTTTGGGAACAGTAGAAAATTCTTTATATGTGAAAGTAATTTCCATTTTGAAGGCTGAGAAAATAATGAAGCAGTGCTTTTTTCTCTTTTTAGTATTTATTCAATGCATCTAGCCACCAATAAATGCTCAAATTCAGAATATCTGCTTTGCTCTACTACAAACACATGTATGTTCACCCAGTACGAGGAAAAAAAAATCTTTGTATCAGGCACTCCTTCATAAAAAAAATAAGTAACAGTGTGACATCAAGCCAATAGAAAAACCTAAGTATACCTGGGACCGTCAATTGTGCTTAAATGTTTCATTTGTGTCTCCATATCACTTTTCTCCACTTAAGGAAAACAATTAGTAGATGTTATTTCATAGATAATTCTAAAGGGACAATATACTAGATATGGCTACTAAAATGAATGGTTAGAATCTTCAGTAAGGTTCCAAATATGCTTATGTAAATGGATTGGGGCGGGGGGATTGGTGTGGAAATCAAAACCAAACAAGCCCTTCAACCTTTGAACTGGGTTTTATTACTCCTGCAGAAATTAAAGCCATAATTTGCTGTTTCCTGAATGACCACATTGTATTGCACACTAAACAGGTCAGTGGAAATTCTTACCTAATTAGAAAATATGCTGAACAAAGCAGGTGCTATATAACACAAAACAAATATTGATCATGATTGTCAAATCTGTTGCAATATCTAATCACAATGCTCTATGATTTAGCTTTGCATAATTACTTTCACAAAAACTTGTCATCAAATACAGGCCCACCTCTTATTTATTCCTGTGTTAGAAGAAAATAAAACATAAAACTCCTGTTGAGATTTTATTTCTGATGTCCTAGCTGTTGTCTTTGTATCGAGGTTTGATGCTCAGCCAATTACTCAGTTAAGAGCATTCTCTTCAAGAGAATAAAAGCTGATAAAATGTCCATAAAATCTTGCAAAATGCCATTACAAGGCTCTCATAAACCTAAAATTTCTGGTATTTACACCTTGGGATTTGCACCTTGTGTTGTCCTTTCACAGAAGCAAACATGCACAAAACCACTGTAATAACCTCTTGAAATCAGATAATATTCCAACAGCTCAGTTTCACTGACAGAAGGGGCCTGGGCATAAGCCAAGAGGCCCAGGTGCACTGTGTCATGCCAGTATTTAATGCAGCCTAATATCAGATAGATGCTAGTGAGAGAAAATACTCAGAATAAAGTACAGATAATAGCACGGACAACCACTCATTGCTAAATTACTTCTGCTCATCGTGCTGTGAGCTTTGTATTAATTTTTTTCATCAAGTGGCAGGAATCATAGGGAGAAGTGGCTTAAAACTCCCTTCTTGTAACCCTGGATAAGGATCTATGATATTAGGCTTTCATATGATAATGGCAAATGATGCCCCTCTTTGAAAAATTTCAGACTGGTAATGAAAGTCCTAATCAGATTGTTGTTGCGGAGAACTAGGAGGTGGGGAACGATGCCTTACTTTCCCCTCCCCCCCGTCAGCAAATGAAGCAAACTTGACAAGATGGGTTAAGTCTTGGAGAATTTATCTTACATGAATTTCCAACAAAGCCCGTGGGTTGTTTTATAAAACTGGAAGGTAGTGCTTTAATAAAAGCTGCACCACCTGAGGCATTTTCATTAAAGGCTCTCTCTAGACAACATCACAATGTTTGCATTATCCTCCTACACTCCCAAGAGAATACAAGCACTACCTTTTCAGCAAGAGTTGATATTGTGTGTGAAGGCACGAAAGAAGATGATTAGATTTTGCTTTACTCACAAAGTAACCACTTGCAACAATGCTGTGTCAATGCTGGTCAGGATTAAAATTCATTGATTTGTGTTGCCCACCATTTGAACGGTAAATTGTTTTTTTCAGGAAAAGATATATTTTGAAGGTTTTAATAGTCAGTCATGTGAACGAAGATTTTAATCCTAACCACACATTATTCTCAATGACTGTACTATTTATGCTATCTGGGGTCTTAAATAATGACAGTAATTAACCGATTAGTACACTACAGAAAACAGGTGCAAGGCTCTGGAGTGGAAGCATCAATGTACAGTATTAAGGAACTCTGGCATTTAAAATGATTAATCTGTTCAGTGTGTTTAGCAACAGGAAACACAAATCACTGAATTCTGAAACATAATGTTATCTCTGTGGAAAAATTTCATACACACGCACTGAATGCATATTTAGAAAGGTTCACTGACGTTTTCACCCATTTCAGTGGACTTACCATCTGTGTAGACTTCTCTGCGCAGATGTCCTGGCTGGTGTTTTTGCTTTTTGGCAGGTCGGACCTTCTGTATTACAACAGCACTCATGTTGCTGTCGGTAGACACGGGGCTGGTGGGTCTAGGACAGTGTGATGCATGAAAATGTCTACGGCCTGGAAATCGTTACAGAACAATAGCTATTATTTTCCTTATCTAAAATAAGAGGTTTCACACTTTCTCTTTTTTCACATCAGAATGACCTAGCTATACAAAACCTGAAAATACACTGTTGGAAGAATAATAAAACTCTCATCCTTCCTGTAATCAGTTTTAGAGTGAGCCGTAACTAAATCGAAGCATTTGCTATCCTATCAGTAGGCAGGCTGGCCTAGTTTCACAGAAATTATCCAACTGGTTGGTAGCTGGTATCTCCTGCCCCAAGAACCTGAAAACCATCAGCAGTCAAGCACAGGCACCTTCCAGAAACAACAAAACATTTCACTTTCAAAAGGGGTTTCACCTCCCCTAGCTCCGGCAGCATGAGGTCACCCATGCCATAAGGAGAGCAAGTCACCAGCAGGTCTTAGGTGCAGATGCCACCTCCGCCGCTTTGAGTGAATTACCAGGAATGCATTGGGGATGTATGACTGGCATTTTATCCCAGCTTATTTGCAGATAAGAAGTGTCTCATTTTTAGGATGCGTAGTCAGGTGTGGGTAATATAAATACATAAAAATCACTGCATAACATGAACTTGACTGTTGGAAAATTATTTACTTGTAATAGGAACAGGATGTAAAAAGACCTCTTCTAAATATACAAATTTACACACACATAAACACACATATTTATATGAACATGTATGTATAAAATGGATAAAATCCTGGCCCCGTGGGTATGAACGGGAGTTTTGCCACCTACTTCAATCGGCCAGGATTTCATCCAGAATTACTAAATTACCTCCCCTCTCACTCTTCATGATGAACAGCTGTGTTGAAATGAAACAAAGGACTGTTAACTGGGAGAGGATATCAGAAATGGGAGGAAGGTTGCAAATCCGTGGAGTCATTATGGACACAGTTGTGACAGAGTACCTCTTCTCCAGGTTTGGCAGTTTAATAGGATTGATTGGCAAAACATTCATGGATCTGCTTGAAACCTGCATCCCACCCTGTGGTATTCTTATTTCTTAGCTGAACTATCCACTGGGCCTAGTTACTGATCAGGTTACTGATTACCTATATATACCTAGTGTTATATATACCTATATATACCTAATAACTAGTATGTTGTAAAACGCTAAATCACATGTCCAAAATCACATTTCGTATGTCCAGTGGTGATTCAGGAGAAAAAAAAGAATTAAGAAACATATGCATAAGGACTTGCTGCTTATTCATAATCTATAATCTAAACTGCAACTAGTAACAGCTGTCAAATTATGAAACCAACACAAACCCGGTTCATCTCAATAATACAGCAGTAAGAGCTCGAACAGCATTCTCCAAAAGATAACAACAAAATATAAAACAGAAAACAAATATATTACAACTATTTTTCAAATTCAGGGGAAATATGACTCTAAAGGTTTACTATTTATTTGGACATTTCAACACAGAGGGATTAGATCTCTCATTAAGAGTGACTGAAAACACCGGGAGCCTTATACTAGGAAAAGGATACAATTCTGTATTCCTTTTTTTCTTTTTTCTCATTCAGTTCCGGGTGGAAATCCACCAGCAGGGCTGAGGTTTGGCAATAATCAATGAGACGAAAACATTAGGAACTACTACAACGTAGAGCACCAATTTATTTGAACTGTTTCATGAGAACTCCTTTTCTGACTCTTCCACTAGTGTAAATTGTCCCTCCCTCCCGAATTTCTAAATGTTGTAAGAACAAGAGTAATCCAGGAAGCAGTTGTGGATGAATACATTTCACAACGGCCATTTTTTTTCTTCTCCCATCAAACAGAGGACAAACTCACCTCCTGCTGCATCCTGCATTTGACGTCTGGCTACTTTCAGGCCAGCATATTCCGCAGCTGCTGCAACAGCCTGTGCAAAATCTGCATCGGTAAAAAACGATCCATCTGAAGAGCTAACGCTAGACCGCCCGCTTGAGATGTTATCTTCTTCGGAGGCTGAACCCCAGCCATTGATCATGGACCCTGTTACAGAGCTCTCCAAATCCCCAACGCTGGAGGCAGGTGTTTGCTCAAGGCCACGCAAAAGGAGCCTTCTGTTTTGCATCTTGGCAACCTCTATATCTGCCTCATCCTCTTCCTCTTCTGGTGCGTCAGTATCCATATCAGAGACCAAGGGCCCTGAGATATATCCATAGGTATGTGGTGGGGAGATAGGCCTTGGAGGGGGTGGAGGACTCACAGGTTGACGTCTGCATAAAAATACAAGAGTAAGAAGAATTTCACATAACATAGTCAGAGGAAATAGCAGACTGATGAAAATATTTCTTTTATTTCCCAACGAGCTTGACTTGCCTTTTTAAATCAACAGAATTTATATCTGAAACGTTCACAGTTGGTTGTTGGGTTTTTTTTAATTTTTATTTTTGCTCTAAGTCAGAACTGACTGACAGCTATGTAGCTTGAAATCTCCCCCCAAAGAAATACGATTTTTTAATATGGTTCCTTTATCACTGATTTTAATTAAAATTGGCTTATTTTGCATAAAGCTGTTCATTTTTCCTAAAGTAGCACATGTACAGCTAGGCAAAGAGGTGGTTACAGTTCATGTGACTATTTAAAAAAATTATTTGGGCACCCTTGAGAGTATGAGCAAAAGAAGTGTCTGTATATTGCTCTAGAAGCTTGAAACTATCAATGTCAACAGATGCCTCTATCCAAACAGATTGCTCCATAAACATTATCTTCCCTCCAACCACCCCAGTGATTCAGAAAGATTTTATGAAAAGAGATATTGTTATTTCATTATTTTTTAAATTGGTCTAGGTGATAATATAAAGAAAGAATTCTCTACCGTAACGTTAGTTCTGGGTCTTAAGGATACCAAAATGCATACAGATGTATGGGTTAATTTATTTTGAGCTTAAATCATCAGTAATGGTGTCTCCAGCTTAAAGAGGCAAAGTATTAGATATCATTAGATCAACATTCAGTTTAGTTAATACTTAGAAGTCCCAGGTAGTAACTCTGTCAACTGTTTTTCTTCACAGGGCCACAGGCCTGCTCTTTAATTGCCATTTGTCTGATAGGAAGAAATACTTTCTGCAGCAATGGCTGTACTGTTGGTTTTACTTACCAGGAATTTCTACTGCAGTCTGCTTTGCAAAAATTTCCAAAGTAATTTTCCTTTGTCAATTTTTCCCTCTTACTATCTCAGTGACAAATGGCGACTCTCATAAATTAAATCTTTTCTTTTGGTGGGGGTGCGATTTTTTTATTTTAATAAATGGGAATATTTACTAATTTTGAAAGGAAAATTTAGCAAGGAAAAACCTAATACTTTGTGGCAAGAGCAAGCTGGACCTCCCTGGACTACATCATCTAGCCACCATTTTCCACTTGCTTGTATTAAGTACTGAATGGAATGAAGAAAAGGTCAGTTAGGGATATATACCCAATAATCATTTAATAACCCCCTTCTTCCCCCCAAATCCCAGAAGCCATTGCTGCATGGGAATCTCTACCTGCCTTTGACTAGAGACTTTGCCCAATAAAGTTTTACTGCCTTAATTTAAAGCTCTTGTGACAACTGCCCTTGTAATATATTTGCCAATCTTTCTATTCTCTAGGTTTTGGTTTAGGAGACAGGCAACTGGTTTCAAAATATGTTAGGGTTCTTGAAAATATAGCTTGCCTGCCAACCTTTAAGGATAGGCTAATTGAGAGCAGCTGGTTCATGGGCATACAGAATTAACAATACTTCGTTCACTTTATCTGATGCAGTGGTTCTCGCTTTAACAATGACATCGTCTCCTATGTCAGCTCTCGCTTTAACATTGACATCATCTGTTATCTCACTAAATCTTTGGTTTTTTCTCTGCTTGTCCACTCTTCCAGAGCACAGATTTCTATTTCAGTTTGCTATACTTCTAGTAAGCTGACATGACAGAGAAATATTACAGTACACCATCACCACCGGAATCGTATTCTAGATGCCTGGTTCTGATCAGAAATTGAGATAATATTCAGCAGAACTACAAGTGAAGCTAATAAAAAGTATGAAAAACAGTATTTTAGACATTATTTTCACTATAAAACCATCATTTACAAAACTCCTGAAAACAATACAGAGAGGCACCACTCAGAATGTATTCTTAATTGGAAAATATTGTCACACCACATTCAAAACAGAACCCCCCCTTCCAGAATGGGTTACAGTTGCTGAGCACAGTACATCCAACTCCTAAACAGCAATGCCAGGGGTCTTATCAATGCCATTAGATGGAAAAGGTAGTCAGCCAAGCCTTACAAATCAAGTAAATAGAATTATGTGAATCTTTTTTAACTGGTGAGATGGATGTAGCAAAAAGAAAAGAAACAATGTTTGGAAAAGTAAGATAAAAAAGACAAATTTAGTCACTAAGAATTGTAAGACTTTCAGCAAAGCTGGACTTAACCGTTGTAGGAAGAACAAAATAAATATACATTCTACTTTTTCAGTAGCTTAGATTGAAAGATCCTTCCAGATACTTCTGCCACTACTTTTGATGACATTTATGGTGACTAGCCATGAGCCAACCTTCTACTTTCCAGGCAGTTGCTGGCTGGTTATGCATGTTTGCATACCTCTGCTCCAATGCATACTCCATCCTGTATGTCAGTACGCATCCCCCACTCTCCAGAACATGGTACGTGAGGTTCTGGAAAGTCACTCCAAGACATCGCTCACTTAGCATTTCCCTTTTCCATTACTGTCCAGCTAGTTTAACCTCTAAATAACCCAGAAAACTTAAGTGATTAAAATGAACACTTCTATGCCCTGACATACCAGGGCCAATGGAAATTACAGGGAAATATTATTAGCCACCCACTAATAAGAAGAGTGATTTTAAAGACTCAGGAAGATAGAGGAAAAGAAAAAAATACACAGTACAAGAAGTGTTACCATAAAGAATGAAGAAAACAAAACAAGGCACACCAAGTAGAAGTGGGGAACAAAAATAAAAGCAGATATAGGCTCTTTAAAAAAAGATTATAACTATTGCTTACTTAAAAAAGGGAAACATAAAAATGAACTAACTTTTCAAAAAACATTATGGAAAATACATCCATAAATGTCCGGTAAGCTATATTAATAAGATCAAAGTTCTACAGTCTACTTGGCAAGATCAAATTCATTTCATCATAATAGGCCTGCATTTCACTAAAAATAAAAAGTATAACTAGAATATTGCAGGTAAGTTTGTATATTTGTGGTTAAAACAGTATGTGCAAACCACTGCAGGAAAAAATTAATAAAAGAAATATAATTTGGAATGGAAAAGCTGTGCCTTCTTAACAAAAAGCAAGACAAGTAAGCGTCATACATAAAAAGCCTCATTCAGAATTCACTGTTTTATGGAAAAGAAGCTGTGACAGTGTATATGCAAAACAGTTTGTACTAAAAGCAACTCAGAGAAGAAACAAAATTTTCCTGTAACAAATATCTGGCTTTATTAATGTTGGTCATTCCTTTAAATAAGGGTAGGTGGAAATGTTAAGAAAATTTTGCAAGCAGTAATTTCCTGTATTAGGATTTATGAGAGGAGGAAAATCTATAGGTTATATAAATTATATATTTATATATATTCATACATATTGGTGACAAGTTAATTGCACAGTTACTGTGAAATAATGCATGCTATTTTATGGTAATAATGCAGTAAATCTATTGGAAACAATGGAACTGTAATTATATGGTAAGCTGTGTTAACGATACCACTTTAATATCCTGATGACTGTGAATTTAACTTATGTCAGCTTCGTACATACCAAAAAGTGATATACTGCATTTCTTTCCATGGTATAATAATAAAGCAACATAATTATGTATTTCTTAGGTTACAAATAGTTCTAGCGTCCTGGATTAGCAGCTAAATACTAACAGAATAAATATCATGGGGAAAATCTTGGCCCCACTGAATTCAACAGGAATTTTCAGCGGGGCCAGGATGATTTTTGTCACATCTCTCTCGCATTGACACACCTCCGGTCAGGTTGGTGTTGTATGTGTCCCAGATCCTCCTGACAGTCCTGCAACATGGGCTGGAGTTCTTCCTGTGGAGAGGGGGTGAGAGTGGCAGTTGACTGATGGCTATAGGAGACAGCGGCTGGAGAGGAAGCTGCTCCTCGGACAGGTGGAGTAGGACCTCGCTCATCTTCTTCCTCTTCCTCTAGCTCATCCTGCTGCAGATACATCCTTGCAGGTGGGACAGGACAAGGAATTTCTTGGTCATAGCTAAAATTAATTTTTTAAGAAAATAAGGACTTAAATTTTTACTGTATAATTAGCATATCTGATACATGTATAAATAGCCCAGAAAAAAATCATTGTTATATGTGCTTTTGAAAACAGCTTAGTAAGGATGTACTGAGTGGATGTACACCACTGGCAGTAAGTGATCTCTAAATAGCCAGACTACAGCTAGATGAGGAGCACCAGAATGGTACCGAAGGAAGGTCTCACTGCCAGCTTGTAGGCCAAATTACAGTTCAATTAACTAGTGATTAAAGTGAGAAATGGATGATGTATTCATTTTTCTTACCTTTCATCCACTGAAAGACTGTAATCTTCACTATTGCTATGGGGAGGTGGATGTGCTGGAGGGGGTGGAAGAAGATCTGCCCAGTTCATGCCAGCTTGCTTGGGAGCCTTTGGAGTCCTAGCACCCTTCTTGTGCCCTTGACTCCCTGTGAATAAAAAGAAGTACATATTTGTAATGCTTTTACGTATTTCCTCACCACTAGCTTTGAAAAAAAAAACAAACCGTAGTCTTTCCCAGATCCCCTTGAATCCTTGAATTCTCTGGGAATTTACTCTTGTGCTGAGTTGGAATAAACTGGCATTCCTCCTTTTTACACCAATTGTAATTGTAGCTTCTTTGTAGAATTACTCTACATTTTAAGTGGTTGAATTTAAACAGAAACTTTACATAGCATGGAAAAAAGCACATGGGATTCAAAACTTGAATTGTTAATAAATAGTCAAAATGCAATAAAAGCATAAATGAATTTCACAAGCAATGTCATTAAGAGTGAGCTTCCTAGTTTTATTAATTACATTATAGATTATCATCTAAAACAAATGAGCCGTAGACATATTTTCTAATGTGCCTTTATACTATTTAATTGCTGGAACCTAAAATACAATATGATACAGATATGATCTATTAAAGTTCCACTGTTGCATTAAGTCACTGAATACATGTAATTTGTACTTGTCCACTGAAACGTTTTAGGCACAATGAAATGACTAGTTTTAGACTAAATGGCAGGTGCAGTTGAAAATAATTGCTGGAAGAACTAAAATAACAGAAAAAAGATGAAAGAAGATCGATGAAGTATGGCACAAATGTTTTCGACTACTATTACTGGGAAATTATAGCTCAAAATAGAACAATGCAGCTTTAACAGTTCCAATAACTTTGAATAAGACCAATTATTCAGGTGGTCTTGAATTTTAACTTTGGACATGGCTATGATCAGAACTGACTCTACCATTGTTCCTTGGTATTGTGCTGGTTTTGGCTGGGATAGAGTTAATTTTCTTCACAGTAGCTAGGATGGGGCTGTGTTTTGGATTTGTGCTGGAAACAGTGTTGATAGCACAGGGATGTTTTCGTTATTGCTGAGCAGTGCTTACACAGAGTCAAGGCCTTTTCTGCTTCTCACACCACCCCACCAGCGAGCAGGCTGGGGGTGCACAAGGAGTCGGGAGGGGACACAGCTGGGACAGCTGACCCCAACTGACCAAAGGGATATCCCATACCATATGACATCATGCTCAGCATACAAAGCTGGGAGAAGAAGAAGGAAGGGGGGGATGTTTGGAGTGATGGCGCGTGATGGAGCCCTGCTTTCCTGGAGATGGCTGAACACCTGCCAGCCGATGGGAAGTAGTGAATGAATACCTTTTTTTGCTTTGCTTGCATGCACAGCTTTTGCTTTACCTATTAAACTGTCTTTATTTCAACCTAAGTGAGTTTTCTCACTTTTACTCTTCCGCTCCCATCCCACTGGGCGGGACTGAGTGAAAGGCTCGGTGGTGCTTAGTTGCCGGCTGGGGTTAAACCATGACAGGTATACATTTTTATCCTTCTTTGTTATTGTTACTTCTTTAATTGTAGATAAAGTCACTGTATTTTTGAGTATGTTTTAGAATCCTTCACATTTTTCTCTTCAACTGAGGCATGGTTTTATATTACCATAGTTAAGCCTTATATACATGACTAAATATGTTGCAGTGAGATTTAGGAAGCTTGTTTTTCTGCTGTCTCGGATTTTCCGTTCTTATGGACAGTAGTGCTGCTTACTATTGTATATTTTAGCTATGTAAAATTATTTTTCTGGTATCTCAGTATGTCAAGCAAGACCCCAACTATCCCAAGGCGACCATCATCTGCATTCTCTACCCTAAGCACCATGATATATACTAGGTTCAGCACAATTAATTTATTACTCTGGTCACCTTGCTTCA